TTGCACACAGAGTTTTTAATACTAGGATGATGAAATGAATTATAATGCAGATACCTGTCTGTATGTGTGTTGGTTTCCTATAAACCTTATGTCCTAGCGACCCATCATCATGTATAGTGAAAAGAACATCTAAGAACGGTCTAGTTTTATCATCCTTCTGTACTTCAAAAGTGAACTTGATCGATGGATGCAAACTATTAATGTGGTCTAGAAATCTTTCTCCTGAGAATGTTCATGATTTGTTGAAACTATGTTTGACCACGACATGTTTTCAATGGCGGGAGAAATTCTATGAACAAACAAACGGCGCTCCAATGGGAAGTCCATTGTCGCCTGTTACGGCTAATTTGTTCATGGAGGAATTTGAAAAGAAGGCCTTAGCTACTGCAAAGTTGAAACCAGGTTTCTGGTTCAGATACGTGGATGATACATTGAGTAGCTGGTCTCATGGACTAGATAATTTACAAAAGTTTCTAGACCACATTAATAGTTTGCATCTATCGATCAAGTTTACTTTTGAAGTACAGAAGGATGATAAAACTATACCGTTCTTAGATGTTCTTTTCACTATACATGATGATGGGTCGCTAGGACATAAGGTTTATAGGAAACCAACACATACAGACAGGTATCTGCATTATAATTCATTTCATCATCCCAGTATTAAAAACTCTGTGTGCAAGACACTCATCAACCGAGCGAAAACAATTTGTGAGGTAAGTAACATTGACGATGAATTAGAACATTTAAGAAATGTTCTAAAAATGAATGGTTACCCACGGCATTTCATAGATAATGCTATGAAAACGCCACAAAGTATACAGCAGAAGATTGAATATCAGTCGTCTGTTTGTCTACCATACATTGGTCCGGCTTCACACAAATTTGGAAGAATTTTGAGGAATGAAGCAGGTATAAAGGTATACCATTCTAGCGAAAACAAGTTGTTTCAATTCGAGCTCTATGCACACATAAGGACAACGTAAATGAATATCAGAAACCTGGTGTGTACCGCATTCCTTGTGAATGTGGTCTGGTTTACATTGGTGAAACTGAGCGAAATCTCTCAGTACGTCTTAAGGAACACAAGACGAATTGCGAGAAAGCCGAGCAAGATAAATCTGCTGTGGCTAAACATACTTGGACTTACGACCATCGTATAAAATGGGACGAAGCAACCATTTTGGCGATTGATAGTCATAAGTTCTCTCGCAAAATGAGAGAGTCAATTGAAATCGAGAAGCACAATACTATAGATCAGGAGGGAAAGCCACTAGATAGTACGTGGCATGCTCTCTTTAATGTGCAAAATTAATTTCTCTTGTCTTGGATGCGCGCGTTAATTGGAATCACTTCATTACGTTTGAAATGACGTGGTTGATGTGCCGTTTAATTAAATTTCAAATGACGCGAGCCAACAGATCACGACACTCTTGTATATAAAAGGAGCGTGTGAATTAAACAAGTCACATATTATTAGCACTGATGAAGATCCGGGCTTACGGATCGAAAGCTTTGCAGTAATAAATTTACGTGGTGTTTCCACAAACAAAAACAATTAATACACGAGTTGTAAGTATTTAAAATTTATGTAAATTTTCATCCAAACTGAACAAGAATTAAATCGATATCCATTAGCTTCACGAATTGCCCCTCACTCAAACACATTAATACAAACCACCAGGTTGAAAAAGCATTTTGGCTTTGGTAAATATGGCGTATTCACATTGCACTTAACGAGATGATATAAAATAGTTAGTCAAAAATATTAGAGCTTGGCAAAATTTGAAACAAAAACAATTATTCTTTCATTAAAGGTTCAGTGACATGTCATGGTGATAAAGTGAAGAATGCCAACTGTCCTAAAGATCAATACATGGTGGTCAAGTTTGCATCTTATCGTGGATTACTTGGCACAAAGACATGTGGTTTAAGTGACGATTATAGTTGTGAAGTTGATGTTACATGTGTTGTTAAGACGCAATGTAATGGTCTACATGAATGCAGTATAACTGTGGATGACAATTTGTTCTCTGATGATCTATGTTCTGGATTGTCAAACTACCTTTACTTTGAATATCAATGTGTTGATACTGCGAAACTTTTCAATGAACTTTGTGGTACGCATGGGTATAACTATATGATTCTATTGATAGTTTCAACTTTTCTTAAGGGTTGTGTATAAGACGAGTTCCCATAGCGTATAAAAATGTTCAATTTGGGACACAACTGCCATATGCATGCACCCTACATATCAGAAACATCCACTATAGCCGTACACTGGGAAAGATAACCAATCATCTTTTTTTTTCCGACCTTTTGTAGTTGATGACATGTCTCTATCATATTCATCTGTACCTTACAAAGGTGTCCTACGAATTACCATTGATGGTGAGACCAAGAATGTTTGTTGGAAAAGTTTACAGAACAGAGCCAAGGATATTGTTTGCCGTTCCCTCGGATACTATAGGGCACACTCTCTTGTTAATGTGTCCATTTCAACGTATGCAAAAGATGAAACATTTCCTGGAAGTATAAACTGCAACAATGGAGAAAAATACTTATCCCAGTGTTCAATTAATGCTTCGGTCAGCGAAAGTTGTTCTGAGTTATCACACATAGAGTGTATGACAATAGGTAGGGCTGATAAAACTACGACAAAAGGAAAGAATATAATGCAGATGTAGAAGAAAGGGCTTTAGGATATAAAAAGAAATATATAATGTAGTGGGAAATATATATTTGAGGAACCTGACGAGCAGTATCAATTGGACCAACCATTCATCAAAATCAGGGATTCCTAACTTTTTATCTCTATACTTTAGATTATCGTTATTTGTACTATTGGTTTCATCGGTTTCATTGGTTTTATTGGTCACAAGATAGAAGACCGATGTTAGAAGATAAGCGAAAATTTCCTGATTCGTCATTTAGTGCTTCTGTTTCTTCAGAAGGTCACAGTGCTTCTGATGCTAGGATATCTAGTGGTAGTTCTTGGTGTGCTCCTGTCTCGGATGACAGAAATTATCTTCAAGTCGACTTAGGAAGACTGTATGAGCTGTACAGTCTCTTAACATATGGTGACAGTACCAGCCCAAAATGGGTGGCCACATATAATTTGAATTACACTCTTGATTCACTGAACTGGAAAACTGTAACCAAGGTGTGATGATGTAACTAACAATAATAATATCATAGCATGTATTTATTAAACATATTGTTGTGACTTTCCATTGTTCCTGATGTATCTTTTACTTCTCTTGTTTGTAGATATTTCAAGGAAACAAAAATGCTAACGATCATGCAGCCTTGGAGACTCTTTACTTTATAGTTGAAACGAAAGCTTTACGATTTATTCCTTTAACATATGTTGGTCAATCATGTATGAGAGTTGATATCTGGGGCAGAAGTAAGACCTGCATGTATATTATTTTCTCCGCGTTGTATTAGTAGCATGACAAAATTACTGGATACTGATTGGTTGAGAGGAGTACAATTATCCATTAATTATACTGCAGTACAATTAATGATTTTCCCAAAACAAACAAAATGGCGGAAAGGTATTTTAAACACAGATGTGAAATGAAGCAAATTTTGCTTGGACAAAAGAACTAAATGAAAATACAAACAAATGCACCAAATTTTGGTTGAAAGTCTGGCAGGACTGGGCTTTGGCGAGAGAATATGATGTTGATATTGAGAAGTACGTATCCAATTTTGTCATGCTAATAATAAACAAGTAATCATGCGATGTTGCTCGTACAATTAGGGATTACTATACTTAAATTCTGATAATTAATATACATAGCTTAACAGCAGTTATTTCCTAGGATGAACTGCACAATTTAGGCAACGTGATGGCTTATAAAACAATGAAATTAATAATATTTAAGAACATAAAATTAATGAATAACTAGGGTCTATTTACAAGAGCAAACTAAAGTTTTTACGTCTTTATTAGAACACAAGACGCGAGAGGTGATACTCCGCTTTTAAACTTATCTTACTGTGTTAAAAACTTAAAATCATAACATTTACAGCATAATGCTAGTTTTCTTTACAATCACTATTTCAATGAGTTTATTCTTGCCGATATCATCACGTTGCCGTCCTACATTTATAAGTAATATCATGAAATGAGGAGTGTTAGTCATTAAACCACCCGCTCGACGAGGGTCAATTTTAATAAATGACCCGAGTCGAGCGGGTGGTTTAATGACTAATACTCCTCATTTCATGATATTACTTTGTAATATTATTTTTGCGTGAATTTCACCCAAATCAGTGTTCAGACACTATCCAGGTGATGTGGTAATACTAATACGACCTGTAGTGACGTCAACTGAGGTCGTATTAGTTCTAATACGACCTGTACATTTGAGTAGGCGAGTGAATTAGTTAGTAATACGGCACAATAGAACAATAGAAATTCACGCAATCATGATATTACGTATGGTCTTTATTAGCTCTGCCAAGTCCAAGACAAAAATTCAGCCAACATATGATTCATTTATCGTTGGTCCACTGCCCGCTACTGCTAATAGTTCCACAAAATTTCGTTTGAAACTGTTTGATAGCTTAGTAGTCTTCTTGATAACAGCTAGAGACACATAAACTGTCTAACACTCCTAATTAATACATGCATAATTTATCAATCGTTGCTTGACTTTCACTGGCGGTGGTATGCAGATATTATTTCTTGCAAATCGTTATCTGTCTTTTATTTCCATCTCTTTACGTCCTTACATATGTTCGACCCTGTAGTCACAATAATTTATTACACATTTCAAAATTATTGTATATTTTGTACTTTTCCACCCAGCTGTATTACCAGACAGACCTAGAAACCTCACCGTCACTAACATCACGTCTAGAAGTGCTGAAATATCTTGGCTGGATCCAAAAAATCGCGGAATATATGGTCTTTCAAATTTCTGGATTGAGCTAAGGAAAAGAAACTCTTTAATCTTTAATATTACCACAGGAAGGGTGAATAAATATAAAATAAATAATCTTACACCGTATACTACATATGAAATATATGTAGCTGCTGGAAATTATTATGGTTTTGATGATGGAGCCATTTCTCCGTTCTTAACTTCTGAAGAAGGTGAGTGTTCAAGATGTGTGTTGTGTAAAACGTGCTCGATTAAAAACTGTACATTCACTGCAAGGCAATATTGTGCTAAAAAGTTTTTGAAATTACCTTCATTCTTCTTTAAAGTAGATAAAAATAAAATCTTTGCGTTATATACATTTTAGCTCCGAGCGGTCCTCCATTGAACATCGGAACGACATCAAGAGGTACATCGTCATTGTATCTCGCTTGGGATCCCCCTGAGACAAGTAAACAAAATGGCGTCATTATCAGTTATAGAGCGTGTGTTTCGCATTCAGAAAATGGTCCTTGCTTTCAGACATTCATCACAGGTGAAAGGAAGTGGCTCGTTGGAAATTTGAATCCATCAACAAAATATTATGTTCGTGTTCGTGGAAGTACTAAAGTTGGTCATGGAAACTTCAGTGAAAATAAAGGATATTTTACGAATGAAAGTAAGTACAGCATGTATATATTGAAATGTTATTTTTGTTTCTTGGGAAAATTCTGCTCAGAATTTCATATTCACCATTTGGCACATTCATTTCGTTTTAGCAAACATTGTTTGTTAGTAACGCACTACGTAGCAGCCAGTTGTGCACGCCCGCCCATTTTCTCGCCCGCAAACCAGCTGCAACGCAGCCAAGATAGACAGTATTGCTACAATTTAAAAACCAACACAAAGACCCATATAGATTAACGAATTTTACATTTTGATATATCCATTTTCCTACAGGAGCGGTAGAGAAGGCTACAGGTGAAACATCAAGAACACTTACGTTTTCATTGGAAATGCCATCAAAAACATTTGTGTAAGTTTATTTGGCTCTCCATAATGGTCTTGGATTTAAATATTTGGTATAACATGTAATTTGGTCTATATGAAGAAGACAAATTTTAATTTATAGGTATTTCTACGTGGTGGCTTTGAAATTAAAAGACGGCAAAGAGCCTGCATCATCCGACAGTTATGAGAACAATGAGTTAGTGACGTATGCTGAGGCGGAAAACTCAACCAAACCGAAACCTTATATTGCTGCAGCAGCTAAATTCGGCGAGATTGATGGGAAAATTTTTATACTTGGTGATGGCAGAAATACAAATGATTCAACTTTACGGAAACGTAGGTCAACGACGAATGACTATTTTAATGGTCCGTTGGAGCCTGGAACTAGTTATGGGATATTTCAAAGGATTATCATCAATGAAAAGGTATGGCACATTGGGGGCACTAATAGTTCATTGAATATACAGTGTTCTCAAAACTGGGACTAGATAGTGCATCTGCTTAAATGAAGACAATGGTGGCCTTATTGATGTAACTACCACAAATTAACTCTTAGTGTCGCTGTCATGCTAGAAGCTAAAGGCCCTGTCACACTATTGCGTATGAGAGAAACGTATGAGAAGGGTATGAAAATTAATGAAATTTTCATACGCACAAAAATCCTTTGAAATGCCAGCGGATGAGTAACGTACATCTGGCGTACCTCGAGCGTATTCAGCGTGTGCCTAGAGCATGCTTATCATATAAAGCATACGTCCGATACGCACAAAGTTTTTGAACATGCTTAAAAAAAGTTTTCTGCCTCGCCGTATGCCAGCGTATGCCACCGTATGCGACGACCGTTCTTGAAACGTATACAACCTATGCCTATAACGTACCCTTAGCGTATGTCAACGTATACCGGCGCCGCGTATGAGTGATATTTTTCATACGCTGGCATACGCTAGTATGATACGCAATAGTGTGACAGGGCCTTAAAGGCTATTTTTGCTGCGAGTTTTTGTGCGATATGCTTCATCTGATGCATGAGAACGAGCAATTGAGTTTAGAATAAGTATGTAGATCTCCGTGGTGTATCTTCATCTGAACATCCAGAACTCGTTCACAGGTTCACATCCATCAGAATCGCAGCATAAACAACTGTAAACGGGTCTTAGATGTAAGAGAAACAGATAGGACCGGACATTACCCTGTATATTTTGGTCAACAGACGATGACATCATATATCTGTATACCACTTAATAAGCAAATCAATATATAATCGCGTTCTTCACTATAGGGTGAATATTATTCCACAGACTGGAGTCCTTATTCAAAAACGATTGAAGATACAGGTATATATCTGCTATATCTTCTATATCTTGCTTTTTGAACATCACATATTTTTAATATAGAACATGAATTTACTCGCTAGTCTGTTGGTGGTAAACGAAATGTGTTTGGATGTAGCTTGCGCCGTACACCCTTAGCAGAAACACGTTGATTATCATATAGTTAAACCACAAATCAACGAGCGAAAACCAATTGTAAATTTTTTAATATACATACGTGGTAATTTTCTTAATCGATTCAAGTTTCAGCCACGGACGAAATTGATGATGGTTCAGGAAAATATCTTACTGGCATTATAGTATTAGCAATTCTACTGGCCATTTCATTTGTCATTATCGCTTATTTTATCTATCAAACTCGTCGACTCAAATCATCAAACGTTGAAGCAAACGCGGAGACCACTAATGACGAAAATAATTCAAGACACATTTATGATGTCCCTGTTAGTAATTGCGAACACGTAGAAGATGAACAGTCGACGTATACAGCTCTCAAAAGGCCTGCTCCCGGAGAAGTAAATGATGACCATTTATATGGTCATCTAAACCAAGTACTTCGAAATGTTTACACAAACCAGGGAGAAACTGGGATTTAATGCTTATCACTGCCTTGTTAAAGGTCATTGGTAGTAGAAATTTACTTTGTCTCTTTTGAAAAAACTTTTAAACTAATTTAATACTAAAGAAGTTTATCGACTTTAGAAATATTGGACTGAAAATAGCTGAGCTAGCTATCCACCATCTTGGATTATTCAGATATGTACAGATATACGTTTCTCAATCGACAAACAAACTTAAAAAGAATTTTTAATGCTATATCTGTAAAATAATGTCTGAAGTTCAGTAAGTTGATTCTCCTTATTACGTTTTCGTAGCTCTTTGCATTGTGGTTATAGTGGTATCACTGATAAAGATCGCGCCCTCGAATGAAAATATTGAATATTTTCGCAAATATTTTGCTTTTGGCTATCGTGCACCTGACCCTAGCTTTTTTAAAAGTTCTTGCACGGGTCAGGACAGGAAATAACCCATCTTGAATATCAGTGATACCGCTATAACCACAATGCAAAGTGCTACGAAAACGTAATAAGGGGAATCATCTATTGTATAAAGCATCATTGATAATTGTATTTTAATTGACAATTTTTACTATTGGGGTGCCCAAGTTTGGCACCGCATTAGATTCTGCCTGTGTGTTTGTTTGTCCGTTTGTTAGTGTGTTCGCATCAATACGTTTCCTTAATCGCCTGGTAAAAATGCCTTGCACTTGCTCGAAATTTATTCATTTTTCCGTGAAAATTAATTAATCTTGGACTCTCAGGACCGACTGTTTGCTGGGATAGTCATAATAGCAACACGTTGTCACACATAGCAGCACATCGCAAAACATTGTAACCTAGTAACACATTGTCACACATGGATACACACTGAAACACAGTCACATGCAACACATTTTAGACTAGAAAATACATGCATGCAGAAACCCTTCGCCTTGCTGACAAAACCGTTGTATTTTCCGGACATGAAGTATTTAAAGTAGTTGTCACGATAACACGATAATTTTTTAAGAATATTTTACAAATGAAAAATTCCCTAAAAATATCACATTTAATTACAAAATTTTCAATTCCCCGGACATATATATGTTAAGTATGTTATTATACGTAATATAAGTTTCAATTTAAGGTAAAATTCAACATCAAAAGCTTCACAAGACGTTTAAAAATGTTCTTTATAAAACTATGAATTTGCCTTTAATGGCTTTATCTAACTAAACTTTGAGTTTGAAATAAAAAGATTTCAAATTCTCACAAGCGAACAATACATCAATATTTAAGCGAACAATACATCAATATTTAAAACAAACCTACCTTCGTTAACGTCGGTGCCTCTACTCCCTTCTTTTAGTAATTCTTTCGCCTTTATTTTCTGAAGAGGCTTTTGAAATTCACAAAATGTTGCAAAAATGAAATATATTTGCAAGAAATCATCATTCATTAATCATTAAATCTGACAAATCAAGAAGTGTTTGCTATTTCGCTGTTCGTCATGCAGTCGTTTATATAATGCAAACTTTAAATTTAACCAATCAGCGTCCGCTATTCATGACAGTTCGCCATATTTTTGAGATCAGTGAGGATGACCAGTGACCACCCACCGAAACTTCCTTGATGACCCACGCCCCGCGATCATTGATGAACTTTAGACTTTGCTAATGCTTTCGTTTCCGAAAACACGAACAGTGCTTCTCCTTGAACAAAGTTGAATCAGTGTTTCAGCCCTCATTTGGCTGGTCTTTGTTGCATTAAATTGAGCAAACAGTCTGTTGGATAGAATTTGAGCTGATTTTGCGCAAACCAATACACAAACCAATGTGTTGGTTTTGTGTGACAATATGTTTTTATGTGTTACTGTTCGTGCAACTATGTGTAACCATGCATTACTATGTACTGATATTTGTGACCATGTGTTAGGCCTATTATGCGCTGCGATGTGACGATGTGTTGTTATTTGTGACAATGTGTTGCTGGGTGTGTCTATATGTTTCTATGTGCGAGAATGTGTTACATGTGACTGTGTTTCAATGTGTTTTAATGTGCGACAATTTGTTACTATGTGCGACAATGTGTCGCCATGTGCTGCTATTGTGTGACGATGTTTTGCTATTGTGATTATGTGTCACTATGCGTTGTTATGTGACGATGTGTTGCTATTTGCGTCTATGTGTTGCTATGTGTGACTACCTGTTTCTATGTGCAAGAATTAGGAATGTAAACATGCAAAACTATGAGTAGCAGTAGAGAATTTATAAGGGTGGTAGTGATATGTATTATTGATGCGATTTCATTGTTTGATGATATCAGAAATGTATACGGTAATCCCCTCTGGCTTTATTGGGGCAGGTTGTTGAATGATGGGTTAGCACTCTAACTCTTGGTCAAAATTAAACCACTGTTTTAGTTTATGTATTTCTGTCTATTTATTTCAAAACTTTAGATAAAAAAGTCTATTTATTTTAAAACTTTAGATAAAAAAACTGCTACTGATCCAGACAAGATTTGGAAGAATTATTTCCACGTTTATATGAACAAGGTGTTAGGAAGTTTGCTTTGAATTTCGAGTTAACGTAGGGTTAAGCTAATCGGCATTGCAACCGGCCCCTGATGCAAGCTTATGTATATAATCTGGTCCAAGGCAAGATATACACTTACATTTACTGATGTCTTACACTTACACTTACATTTACTAAGTCTTGTATGCTAGCGCTGTTCTGTATTAATTATTTGAACACTCGACTCATTTCGTGACATCTTAGAAACATAATGATGCCATAAATTAAACATAGAACAGTTGATTTTTCTTTTCCGAGAAGTAACAGCTTTGTAGTAGACTGCAAAGGATGTTATTATACACCGTTGGATATCCGGTTGAAAGTTCATCAAATACTTCTAGCATCCAACCTTCCGCAGGAATCCCATCATGTGTCCTTTACCTTTTAATTACTGTTTTGTAATTAAATAGTGATTAACTCTTAAATATGCACTTCTTATTGGATGAAGTTTCCACTAACTATAGTTAACTTTAACCACTTTTTATGCAACCGATCCCTGATGAGGAAGGCCATTTCCTTGTGGCAACGCATGCACGACCATTTATGTGCTCAGCCTTCCTCAAAATTGTCTGATTAGAACCCTGGAATAGGTTTTTTACTGTGCACAGTCTGTACCACAGTTAAAATGTCTGCAAAGTGAAGTAGGCCTACGAGTTGCGTGATATTCTCGTAGTATTTCTTTGGTGTGTCTTTGCTACCCATCGGCAACTCGGTGACTATATAAATTGCATCTTTGAAATTTGATCTAACCTGACGCTAAAAATGCAATTCGATACTCCTGATGGACAAAATAAAGTCTTTAAAAACTTCAATGGTGTTTTTTCCGAATTTTGGAAGGCTATATTATTAATGGCGCAAATAATTTAATGAAGAATTCTGATTCAACAAAAAACTGCGACAAAAACGCCCCTTTACCTCCATACCCTCACTTTATCATTATTTTACCTCCAAGAATCTGGGAGGCGCGCGTGACCAGCTACAGCCAGGGTTTTCGTTCGCCTCGCGCCGTTTCAAGAAAGACCCTGGGACCGAAGTTGCTAACTCAGCGTGAAGGTTCCGCTATTTTAAAAATTCCTAAGTAATACCTAAATTATTTTATTGTTTGTTATTTTCATACCTTTCTGATATTTGGCATGCCATTTTTTATATACTTCAGCCGTACGGTGATGAAAATTTGATAAAAATCGGACTTATATTAAATTAAGCGCACAATTACGATTCACCATGCATAGAAAATCACAAAGTATGTGCTACGTGTAGGTGATCTTAATGAGTTGTTCTATTAGGCCCCGTTTATAAGAGATCGGCCTGGACGAAGTCAAACCGGAATGAAAATTGAAATTGTCAACATGTTTACATGAGACCGGAACGAAAATCACACAATTTTCAATTTATTCCTCTTGCCAGGAAATCTTCTTCTTTAGATGGCTTTTGTTAGCATGTGTAGTTCCAATGTCAAAGTTACAGCCGAGACCGGTGTGAAATGTATTTGTGTTTACATTCATCCCAGTCTGAATTCGTGCCGGTCTGAAGTCAGCCGGTTCGGTCCAGCAGGCGGAATGACTTGAGACCGGTCTGAGTTATTTTCGTCCCGGTCTCATGTAAACATCTATTATAAATAATACTATGACCGAAACGAAATGGTCTCGGTTTGACTTTGTTTCGGTCTCATGTAAACGGGGACTTAGAAATGTCAACAGTAACATCCCAGCATGATGTACGTGTTTTACATATATTTTAGTATTTTAGAAAAAGTTAATTAAAATGATATGTATAATCTTGGTTTCACTTAAAATTTTTTTTAAATTCTTACTATGGAAATAGCATGGATCTTTGTTGAAAATAGTATGGAAATGCCATTGTCATACTAACTGCAAATTCCATGCTATGGGTATAGTATGGAAACAATATTAACATGGATTCAGTGATGCAATTGCAAATTCCATATATAGCATGGATAGTTCACTATTTTTTCCGGTGTTTGTTCATGTAAATATGAAGTGTACTTCCAATATGAACGTATACATATACATAGCTCTTGCCGCTTTGTTGTTACCTAAACGTGTTACTTATATGACATAAATATTAATCCTTGGAAAGATTTTAGATATTTTCTTTTCATTCAAATATGAAAGCACATGCAAAGCCCACATAAGACTTCATGCTGAGTTGGTTTCGAATTTGCTACAACTTCCTGGTTCATAATTTAAGTGTTTAATACGTCTTACCTCAAACAGTTTTAAGTCAGTTTACTCGATTAAGGAAGATGTTTTCAAAGTGTTTTCATTTTGTTGTATTGGTTGTCGTTTCCCTACAATTGAAAGGTAATTATTGTTTCGTGGTTTACATCACGCATTATTAACCCCGATAAGAGTGATCGAGATTAGTTCATAACTAATTGGGCTACATTTACACTACTTGTACTGGATAGCTTTCCGTTTGGACGTGAAAAACACCTATCCTTACCTTTATGGACCGCTATTTGCAGAGGAATTATTACAACCGGGAGAAAAGTTATTTCACTGCTCGTGCCGTTTACAAAGAAGAAGTAGAATAATCTCGGAGGCTTACTTCAATTTTCACAATTCCACCTTCCGTTCATAATAATTATAGCGTGAAAATAGCCGTTAATGAATTGATCTGTTTAAAGTACATCTTAAACTGTATTGTCAAAGTTGATCTGTCGCTATGTAAATGAAAATACTACCATTCGATTCAGTATAAAAATATACACTAATTTATAACGATAGTTTTAGTCAGTGGCTAAATTGTAGCGACTTATGAGCTTTGAAAGTCAAGCGAGCTTGGTATTTGATCAAATTACACAATATTACTAACAAATTATAAACATAGACATACTTTCGCCGAACATAACTTCGGCCCCTTGAGACGTATGCTCATTCTGGTAGTCTTGCTGAATGAAGCAGTTAAAAATAACACGTATACTGTTATTTTCAAGCTTCTATCTTTAAAATACGAGTTTTCTTGCCGAATTTTGCATTTCTGCCCCGAACTTGCGTTAATCCCAACCGGAAATACGACGAAAAACCG